TAAAAACAAAATTATATAAATTTTATTAGAAATAAAAAATATGTTTTGTATGAGAATTAGAAATAAAAAAAAGTTTTGTCAGAAGTGGGATTTGAACCCACGCTCTCTCACGAGAACCAGAACTTGAGTCTGGCGCCTTAGACCACTCGGCCATCCTGACTCATGGTGTAAAATTCTAATTTATATATATATACATATCAGTATTTGTCTCTTTACAAGTGAATGTAATGTGAAGTCTATATCTACCTATAATTATGTATCGCACTTTAAATTAAAAGGATAATTTTTTTAACAAGACACCATAACACTTTCAAACTCTGTATGTACAAAGTTGGTTAAAGTTGATATCAATATTGAATCATACATACATAAAATTGGCAAGTTACCGTTATTATTTTTCGATACGAATACAAATATGATATAATGTAGTAACAAGAACATTAAAACGAGTAAAGTCAATTTTGAACTTACATAACACAATAATATGTTCAATAAAGAATTAATTATATATTTTAATATTGTTTCTACTAATGGGTGCCATGGTAAATTAGAATTTTAATGTTAAAATAATTTTTATTTTCATTTAAGACAATATATTTTTTGTCAACTATTCTAAAGTCAATCCAATTAAAAAAAATGTAATAATAGGGTAACTTTTTTTTTTTATTGAGAAAATGAATTTAAATTAAAACCATACATTTTTATGAATAAATTTATTCAGGAGAGAATAACTTTATAAATTTTGACTTGTGTTAAAAAAAAAAAAAAACAAAGAAGAAGAGGAAACCAATTAATTTCGTTGTATACTTGGTTGAGGGTGATAATTTTTAGCATGATACATTAACCCAACACAAATCAGATACGGATTGAAAATAATACTAGGTTATATAGCATGAAAAAAAAGGGTTTGACTTATCTTTTGATTTTAACCTAAAAAATCATTTAGACTTAGTAGACTCATTTTGAGACTGATTTGAGTGATTCGAACAGTTCACTTTTTAAAACTCGTTAGGTAAAATATTCATATAAAAAATCAAGATGATTGAATATCGCTAAGTTATATGTTTGAATAATATTTGTTTTAGAAAAATGAAAGACAAATATAATTACAATAGTAGCTATCCATTTTCTATAATGCAAATTTAGTTCAAACATATAGCTACTGATGTCTAATTAGGTTGAATTTTTACATGAATATTGTACTCAACAAGTTCTAAAAAGTGAACGGTTCAGATCATCGAAATTGCTCCTAAAATGAGCTTACCAAATCTCAAATGCACTCTCAAGTTGAAATAACCAACTTGAGAGAAGTCAAACCAAATTTTATTTTTTATATATCCGTTTGGCAAGTTGGGTTGGGGGCTTTTTTGGCTATTTTAGCCACAAAAGACAAAATAGGCTATTTTAGTCACAAAAAACAAAACATCACATCCAACCCATAATCATTACACTCTTCTCTCACAAAAAAAGTCAAAAAAGCCAAAAAGTCAAAAAGCCCTTCCCAAACCAAACTTTTTAGCCTAGGCTAAAATAGCCAAAAAAGCTAAAAAGCCAAAAAACCAACCCACTTCCCAAACCAAGCCTAGGATTAGGATTTAAGTAATTTTGGTATCAACTCAAAATTTAAAATTCATTGAGTGGTACATAACATACAACTTTCGGAGTAAATATTAAATGTAATGTTGATATATGACATCACTGTTCAATTGGCGATCTTAATTTGTACTAAGGTCCACAACATTGTTAGTTTAGTGAGATAAGACTTTCTCACCTAATTCTATTTTCGACTTTTATAAACAAGTGACACCACTTTAAGATAATATTACCATTATGCTCAATATTTTTTTAGGGCAAATTACATTTTACCCCCTTAACTATTACCATTATTCACTTTATCTCCTCAAATTAGGGGTGGGCAACGGTTTATCCGAACCGTTCAAACCGCCCAACCCGTATATAAATGGGCGGTTTCGCAAACATAATGCGGGTGGATGCGGTTTGAAAACAAATTTGCAGGTCGCGGGTTTAACCCGTGACCCGCAAAAATCGTCCGCACTTTAATTATTATTATTATTATTTTTTTTTACATACCAACTTTGTAACTTTAATAGGAGCACCGTTATGTTCTCTATGACACTAGAATCCTTATTTTTAAGTATTTCTCAACTTTCTTAATGCCGTAAAATTATCAAGTCCTAAATTTGGTTTCTTATATGATTTTCATTAGTGACTCATCCACTTTGATTATTGATTATTGAACTGGCAATTCTAATTGAGTACATTTTTTAATGCATTGATATACATTTTTTTCATGACAAAAATGCTAGTGTAGGGTCTCTTTGTTTTGGATACTTTCATTTAATGCATTGATACTCAATTTTTATTTATAAACTCATCAGAAAATTGTTGTCAAATGATCACAAATATATAAAATGAATCTAATGCCTAAATTCGATGGGAAAAAAAAACTCAAAAATTAATTTTTAAAGAAAAAAGTATAAACCGCAAACCGCCTGCAACCACCCGCACATCTGCAAACCCTATCCGCACAAACCGCAAACCGCACTGCGGGCGGTTGCGGGTTGACTTTTTCCCAAACTGTATAGATGCAGACGGGTCAAAATCGAACCGCAAACCGCACAAAACTGATCCGCAAACACCCCTACCTCAAACTAATAATTGATACAATGTATCCCCTTTCACCTTCTAAAAATTTTCAATCTGACACTTATATCTCCATTTTGTTAAAAAAAAAAAAAAAAAAAAAAAAGGAAAAGGTTCATGCAATGTGATGGTTTGTATAATGAACATAAGTTTTAACTTCCACGGAAAATTTGCCAATTCAAAATTTGTCCACCCCTAACATTGACAAAGTTAGGTGCAGTTTTGCATAGCTTTTTAGGTTGCCTAATTTTATTTTTTAATAAGCTAAATTAGTCTCAATTATTTTGCCCAACGGGGCCTCTCTCTAGTTTAGAGAAGATTTGAAAGGCCATGAAAATCATTGAAAGTTTGGTTTTAATAATTTGAATCATTTATTTTTTAATTCCTTCAACTATATATGTACTTTTCTATCTATTTTATTAACAAAATGGAGATATAAGGGTTTAAATGAAATTTTTTAAAAGATAAAATGGTTACATTATATCAATATTTAATTTGAGGAGGTAAAGTGAAAAACAGTGATAGTTGAGAGGAATAAAATATAATTTACCCTTATTTTTAGCAACATATTATTTGAACAAAAATAAACAACTCAAACATTTGATGGATCAAATTTGGGAGACCAATACTAAGAGGTTGTTTGAGATGATCTAAATAAGTGCACTAATTGACTTTTTATGAAATATGGATTGAGTTTGGGGTGGGTTTGAAGTGATGTGGTAGAGAAGTGATATGACTTAAGTATGATAGTGACTTTTTGACTTTTTTCAAATATGTCAAACCAACCCTAAAACACAGGGGTGAGCATAGTCCGGATTAGACCGGATTGGAATAAAATTAGGACCAATCCGTTATCTACAGTTCCTGAAAAATTAGAATCAATCAAATCCGTTTAAATCGTGAAACCAATCCCAACCAATCTATTTAAACACGGATTAGATCGGTTTAGGACCACGGATTTACATAATTAAATAACAAAATATATATATATATATATATAACATTTTAATTTCATAAAAATATAAATCTAGCACCGTATTAGTTTCACAATAACAACATGTCTTTCTTTTCATAATAACAATATACTGTTCTAAAATTTAAACAATCATAAGAAAACTGGTTCCATCATAAGTATTTAGACCATTACAAATTAACATTAAAAACTAACAAACAAAAATAATAAAAGAAGATATATGCGAGCTTAGGTTTGGATTTAAGTTTTATATAAAATAAGAAAAGATACTATGCAAAAGGGTGTATAATAAAAATATAGACTATTTGTATACGATCCGGATCGGTTCCAATCCGGAACCGTGAGATTCAATCCGGAACCAATCCGTTAACTACGGATTTTTAATTTTTCAATCCGAAATTGAATCGCGAATTCAAAAAATCAATCCAAACCTACTGAATTGAACTAAACTGGATCGGATTACGAATTTCACGGATTCCTTACTCAACCCTACTAGAGTACACTTATTTATATTTTTTAAATTATATTATCTTTTTAATTTTCTACACATATTTTCATAAATAAAAAAAAAATACTTATTTACATCATTCCAAACACCCTCTAAATTCTAATAAGAGCTCATAAATCTTGTGGATCTACCTTTTAGTGTTCTAGATTGACATGCAAACTATCGTCATGTGAATTGGCTCATCTCTTGATACCGTTTAATTGTACTTTTCTTTTCTGTTTCTATTTTTTTTTTTTTTTTTAATTATAATTTGACCAACAATTTCTAAAATCTATTTTTAATATTAAAAACAACATACTTAAAAAAAATAATAAAATAAAATAAAATTGAATTGCTTTTAAATTTTCGCATGAGATTTCCACAGTTTACCTAAACTGGCCTTAAAAGTACTTGTCAGCAGCAAAATCACAAGAAACAAGATTCTAGCAGCCCCTGCCAAAGTATACAAATGAGTTAGCAATCTCCGTGGCCGAAGTGTATCTAGATTCTAGCAGTCCCTACCATGGGACAACTTTGAAGTGAATAGAAAAGTCATCACCCTATAATAACATACTATATGGCAGCCCACCTATTAACATGGAGCAATCAACTCCCCCAAGTAACATAGAGTTCCCAACATGGAGCGATCAACTCAATGAAATCACAATCTTCATGGAGTTTGATCGCTCAATGTACAGATGCCACCCCATGATGCAGATGTCCATCATCAATCCATTACACCATGACATGGTGTGGTTCACCTTGTCCACGGACGAGTCCTGGGGTAACCAAAACCTCAGCAGGAGTCCCGGTTGGTGGGTTGGCATACCTATTGTTATTGTTTTCATCAAAAACTAAAGAAAAACACAGCGGCGGTACCAGACAACAACAAAATGATCACCTTTACTCAAAGAAACAAAGTGAATAGTTGAAGTTTAACTCTCCAAACTGTTGCAACAAAAATATGTCAAAATGAACTTCAATCCAACATATAAAGGCTATAAATCTTAATTCTTAAGGCTTGTCTATGACCTAAATGAACAGTTGGAGGATGGATATGCAACATGGGTTTCATCTGTAATTACCACACCTTGCTGTGTTTTGTTGGAGATGCAAAACAAATGAATAAATGCATTGGATGTAACTAACTACTGCTAGATAACAAGAACCATAGATGAAAAAAATAAATTGAGAAGCGTCCAAGCCTTCCGCAACGTCTTGTTCTTCACAGCCTACTGCTTTGAGTCTTGCTTTGTGGTTGTGCCAGCATTCTGCTGTTGCTGTTGTGGCTGCTGCTGGTGGAGCTGGAACATCTGGGGGTTGATGGAGAGCTGCTGGAACTTGGAGGTATCCCCATTCAGCTCTGCAGTAGCAAGCTTCAACCTTTGAACTTCTGCGCTTAAAGCTTCATTAAGAGCTGTCACAAGCACAAACATTTTAAGTACGCAACTCTATTTTCTGGTTTTTCAGTAGGAGGGTTATAAGAAAGAGAAAAAATATGTTGCAGTGAAGTATTAAACCCAAGGTTTAACAAATGGTAGCAACCGTTACATAACGCCGTTACGTAACGGTTGTGGTGGTTAACGCCACCACAACCGTTAAGGCCGCTTTTGTAGTGTGATTGAGATTCACAGGTATGTTGGCCGTAGCGGTCGTAATGGTGCCGTAACGGCCTGTTACGCACTATTACGTAACGGTTCCAAACTGTTTTTTTCAAAAAAAAATACACAAAAAAAAGAGCTGAAAATTGGGGAAGAGGGATAGAGAGAAGAGAGAAGATGGAGAAGCAAGAGATAGAGAGAGAAAAGCGGGAGGATGAAGAACAGATTATTGATTTGTTGAATCAACCTTTTAAGCACAGAACAAAAGCTCTAGCATAATAATTTTGTAAATGCAAATTGCAGGATGGGAAATCGCAGGTAGTCAGATTAAAGCATATACAATATAAGCATGGACACAAATGTGGATACAGACACAAGACAAGACAATTTTGAGAAAAGTAGGATACAGAAACGGTGAGGATACAGAGAAAAAAAAAAAAAAAAAAAAAAAAAAAAAAAAACAACATTATTTTTGACATATTTTTATTTGATATACATCTGAACATAAATTAAAGGCACAAAGATATAAGAGACACCAATGCATATATGGGTGTATTCTTATTTTTTCCACTTTCCCTCTTTGTTTCCATATATTTCACTTTAATCCCAAATCAACTTTCTATAATTATTTACAAATAAACCTTTTGTGAGGTGTCTTAAGGCATGTCCAAACATATGACACCCGTGCGTGTGTCCATGAAGTGTCCCCAACATGTCTTGCTAATAATAATAATAATAATAATTTTAAAAAAATTGGCACGCCACATGGCATGTCCAACATGTAGACACGCTTGTCCAGTGTCCAGCACCCATTCAAAGTGCTTGTGCTTCCTAGTATGCAATGATTCAACCTTTTAACCAACCACAGTATGCAGGTATTTTCTAAAATGCCATTCAAACCATGTAAGATATACAATCTTCTTGCAAACAGATCAGATATGATCCAGTTTTTCAGCTCTCTTACTTTACATAAAAAAAAATATCGTTTTTAGTAAAGTTCCTACTTTTCAAATTGAGCTTGGAAGCACCTCCAGCCAAACCAAAGCTGCCCAAATTGCAGCACCATTGCACAACATGTAGGATGATGAACCAATCAATTATGTTCAACATGATTACAATCAAACTCGGGGCATCCGTACTTCTGCTAGTAGCATAAAGAGAACAAGAAACCCTCTGACAGATGTGCATACATATTTTATTTACGGAACAGAGCATTACTTCAACATAGGTGTAAAATGTTTTTGGTCTCTGTACAACTAGCTGAACATAAATTAAAGGCACAAAGATATAAGAGACACCAATGCATATATGGGTGTATTCTTATTTTTTCCACTTTCCCTCTTTGTTTCCATATATTTCACTTTAATCCCAAATCAACTTTCTATAATTATTTACAAATAAACCTTTTGTGAGGTGTCTTAAGGCATGTCCAAACATATGACACCCGTGCGTGTGTCCATGAAGTGTCCCCAACATGTCTTGCTAATAATAATAATAATAATAATAATAATTTTAAAAAAATTGGCACGCCACATGGCATATCTGACATGTAGACACGCTTGTCCAGTGTCCAGCACCCATTCGAAGTGCTTGTGCTTCCTAGTATGCAATGATTCAACCTTTTAACCAACCACAGTATGCAGGTATTTTCTAAAATGCCATTCAAACCGTGTAAGATATACAATCTTCTTGCAAACAGATCAGATATGATCCAGTTTTTCAGCTCTCTTACTTTACATAAAAAAAAAAATATATTGTTTTTAGTAAAGTTCCTACTTTTCAAATTGAGCTTGGAAGCACCTCCAGCCAAACCAAAGCTGCCCAAATTGCAGCACCATTGTACAACATGTAGGATGATGAACCAATCAATTATGTTCAACATGATTACAATCAAACTCAGGGCATCCGTACTTCTGCTAGTAGCATAAAGAGAACAAGAAACCCTCTGACAGACGTGCATACATATTTTATTTACGGAACAGAGCATTACTTCAACATAGGTGTAAAATGTTTTTGGTCTCTGTACAACTAGAACTAAGAAAAAATATATATAAAACATGCACCATACAAAAAATATGTTTACGTAGGCAGCAATCATTATAATGAGCATTTGCAGTTTCTGCTTTCTGCACAAGAGCAGATTGCCAATCCCTTTGTATGTTAGAAAAACTGTAATATAAAGAAATAATATATCATATATGAAAAATGAATCATACCATCTCGAAGCTGTGCCTGTTGTTCCATGGCTTGCAGGCGAAACTTCAACTCATTGTTCTGGGTTGTGAGCCCAGCAGAATCTCTCTATAATGACAGTAAGGAGAAAACAACAGTAAGCCAATGAAAACAAACAAATCAGACCTAAAACAAATTCACAGAACTCTAATCCCTACCTGCAATAGCGTAAGCTGGGCAGACAATGTAGTTGCTTCTGTCTGTAAAGTTTGAACCTTGTGCTCCAGCTCTGCAATATACCGTAACTTTCTTTCTTTGGAACGAGCAGCCGATTGACGATTTGCCAGAATTCTAAATTTATCAATTAATTAGTTAGTGCACTATATATACAATTCCAGTTAGAAATTAGGCAGCCCAGAATGCATTACCTTTTGGCCCGCTTGGGATCAGCTAATGCTATCTCAGCAAGTTTCTCATTGGCCATAATTTTCTTGAGTTCAGCCCCACTAAACTCACCATTTCCAAATTCCAAGCTAAAGGTATTTGAATTCCCGTCTATCGAATTGCTGGGCGACAATTGTCCTGGGCGTATCCCAGGGGATGGTGGCAGTTTCGGGGACTCATCACCGAAATTCATCTTCCCCATGAAACTATCCATGGAAACACTTCTATAGTGTCTGGTAGTCAGAGAAATATCTCCCACTGCATTCCTCTTGTTCCCTTCCCTCTTCTCAGCTGAAGAACCGATACCGGGCCTTTGCGAAACATTGCCACTTTCATTTACACTACTTGTTGCTTCATTATCGCTGCTGTCATTGCCCTTTGTACCACTGGCTCTACTATCCAAATCCTCGCGATTCTCATTAGACTGCTTGTCATCAGTTCCAGAAGAGTTCAATGTGTCGATGTTGTCCAAATTCATATAAGCAGAAAATAGGTCATCCACAACTTCTCCTTCTGGTTTCCTCTCACCCATTCCTTCTGCATTATTCTCTCCGCCACCTTTATCCCAACTTGTCTCGCGTTTGACTAATTGGATTGGTTTGGGACCAGAATTGTCTCTAGCAGATGCAGACTGGTCAAAACCACCAGGACCCCTAACCGGGATGAGTGGTGGCGGAGATTGCATCAAACTAGAAAACCCAAATGGAATATCGCTATTGGATCGCCGATGTGCCTTACGAGGAGGAAGACTCTCCCCAACCCTCGAAGTACCACCACCCCTTGTGAAAGGTGATGGTGGCAATAAAGAATGTGTATTGGCATCTCTATCATCCATCGACACATCATTTGGTGCTGATGACGAGTCTCGATACGGTGATGGGCTCAACGGAGGCAATGAATCAAGCGAAAAAAATGCAGGCTGCGATAAAGATCGCGAATGGGTCGGTCCGGGGCTAAAATTTTGAGAACCCAGTTGTTGATTTCCCGGCCGGGTTACCGGGATCTGGGAATAAGGCGAAATCGGAGGGATTTGAGGATGGGAAGGCGGTATACCGACTCTCTTACTAGTCTCAACATTAAAATTGGGCGAAAATTGTCTCATCGGAGCACGAATTTGTGAGGTATTGAATTGAGGTATATCAAGATGATTAACAGAAATGGTTTGTTTTGGGATTGAAGAAGATGAAGTACTGAAAGAAGATTGTAATCTATGCATCATATCAATACGAGCTTCTTCTGTATCACCCATTTGCTTCAAACCAATATAGAACAAAACTTTTATATAATTCTAATTCAACAATGTCTTTGGAAAAACCCTAAACAAAACCAGTTCAAAAACCCACAATCACAAAGCCATGAATCGCAATCTAAACTCAAAACAAAAACAAATATATATACAAATAAAACATTACAAAAAACACTTACAATTACCCTTTTAGAACCCTTTTTTAAAACTTATAATCTGGAAAATGAGATAACAAAGTAAGAATGAAAATCAAATCAGTACCAAAACCCAGAAATAAAAAAATGAAATTGAGGATTGAAAATTCAGAGAAAACGAACTAGAGACAATTAAAAGTACCATGGAGAGGTCATATTTGGACCAAATGGCGGCCGGCGCCGGCGGCGGAAATCAGAAACTAGAGTTATCTCCTCCGCATTTGGTGGAAGTGTACAAAAACTTCGTTGTCTGAAAATGGCGGAAACACCGAAGACACAGGGACGGCACTCTCTCTCTCTCTCTCTCTCGCTATAGACGAAGACTACGACACGGATTTCATGACTAGTTACTATACTACTACCTCTGAATTTAATAAGAATTTCATTTGGGTTTAATTGGCATTTGGCTCCAATTTCAATTTCATTCCGACCGCATTTCAGAAAATTTTCCTCCATCAACGCAGATTATGTAGCTAAAAAAAAAATCTTACAAAAAAATATTTTATGAATAAAGTAATATTATGGAGTTATATCTCTCTCTCTCTTATTTTTATTTTTATTTTTATTATTTTTAATACTAGACATGGTAATAATTGCTTACCAAAAAAATATAGACACATAAAAAAATATATAATATTTTTTATAAAATAGTATATGTATAGTTGAATAGTTTTATATATATTCTAGGAAAAATTATTTTTAAAAAAAACTCAGAACTTGACTTTTGAAACAAAATAAATTTTTAATTTTTAATTTTGTAAATGTAATTAGTAATTTTGTTTTTTTTTAAACTTTTACAATGGAATCAGGATAATTTTTAAAGTGCCTAGTATGTATATAATTTATAAATGGAAAATTTAATTAAAATCCCTCCATTAAACTCTTGTTTAGTGAAAATGACAATATAATTTATTTTGCTTCATAAATTTCTTAAGGAGAAAACATATAATTGAGTAAGAACAAAATAAATTATCTTTTTTTTAGGATAATATTGTCTGAGTAACATGTTATTGTAAGACAGAATAACATGTTTTTGTCAAATACAGTAACATATTATTCACATCAATTTCGACGGTAATAAATTTTATTTTATTTTTAAGAATTTCTTAATCAACATGGAACTTATTCGATAGATCTTGATGAGAAGATTATAAAAATATTAATTTTGTTAAAAATCGACATGGACATTAAAAATTATATTATTTTAAAGTTTTAAAGTTTAATATTAGTGATATCTGATGTGTTATACTTTTTAAAGAAATTTTTTTTATATTTATTTTTAATATATTAAAATTTTATTAGGAAGGATTTCGACAAAATCTCCTTTATAAAATAATGCCATATAAATTAATAAATTTTACAAAGTTTTTCATTTGTCTTTATCATATTATTCAAATGGATCGTGTTTCAAATTTTACACCTCCATAACAATTTCTTAGTTAAACATTTTATTAATTTGTATTTTTTTAAGAGTTCACAAAAGTAATTGTGTGAAAACATTTTCATCTTCCAATAATGATATATTATTGGTAGATGTGAAAATAACTCCATCCTTTATTATTTTTGGTAGTTGAGTCTTATTTTGCTTTTATAAAACTTCAATGGGGATAATAATTGTGATATCCTCCAAAGATTAATGCCGCAATGTTTAAGTAAGAATATTATTAGAAATTAAGGTTTTAGGAAAGTCCAATTATAATTAATTAAATGTGATTCAAAATTAATTACTATGCTCTTTCATGCTAGGTGGTGTTTGGCAAGTGGGTTGGGGCTAAAATAGCCACAAAAGACAAAACATGCTATTTTAGCCACAACAAACAAAACATCACATCCAACCCATAATCATTACACTCTTCTCTCACAAAAAAAAGCCAAAAAGCTAAAAAGCCAAAAAGCCCTTCCCAAACCAAGCTTTTTAGCCCAGGCTAAAATAGCCAAAAAAGCCAAAAAGCCAACCCACTTCCCAAACGGAGGCTAAGGTGGATTTCTACAACATTACTGTGGCATTGTTTGGGAAGTGGGTTTGGGTGGGTTTGGACTAAAATATTTACAAAAAACAAAATAAGTTTTTTAATCCTAATAAAACAAAATATCACATTTAATCCATAATCATTACATTCTTTTTCTCACAAAAAAATCAAAAAAGTTAAAATCATTTCTAAATTAAACTTTTTAACCTCAAATTAAAATAATTAAAAAATTTAAAAAACTAACTCACTTCTCAAACCAAGCTTATGCACATCTCCTAAATCACACATTACATCTTATTTAAATGGGGTGTGGGGCCTATATTATCCTGTGGTGTGGGTGGTGTGGGTCTCACTATAAATATAAGTAGAAAGTAATAATAGGAAAATGTTTGAAGGTCACAATTTTTGTGGCCACAATGACTCAAAATTGTCAAAACGACGTCGTTTTGAGTACAAAACATGCCAAAACGACATCGTTTTAACAGTTTTAAACTATTGTGACCACAAAAATTGTGGCCCTTTAGCATTGTTCGTAATAATATTACATAGAAAGTAATAATGGCATGCAACATAAGAGGCGTTAATTTTTTTACTTTTTATAATGTAAGTAAGCTACCTTAAAATTTTTATAACTAGGTTTTACTTCATTCCAACTTTACTTTTTCTTTTATAGAAAATAATTAGATTCTTAAGTAAATTCATTAAACCGTGTGGTTTGTCCGCAAAAAAATATGAATAGGACAATATAAAAATTTACTCATTCATGAATTAAATAATTAGATGTGTATGGTTGCAAAAATAAATTTACTAAAAATGATACCACAAATGTTCTTTTTTGGGAGAATTACATCTCAATGTGACATATTTTTTTTTGTTTTTTTTATTTTTACACGAACATGAAAGAGTGCAAGTCACACTTGTACCTTATAGCATTTTACTTGCACCCATCACAAATTCACTTACACCCCATATGTTTTTGTAATTTTTTTTTTCTCTCTATTCCACTGTAAATCTCCCTTCTTTTTCATGAAAATTTTAAATTTAGCTACTTATTTCAATAAATGTGATAACCTAATCTAAAATTGAGAGATTCAAAAAATTGTTTGATTTATTGCCGACAAAATATATCTTAGAGTAAATCAATTAAAAATTAATTGATTCTATTTGTCCAACCAAACGGGCACTAAGGATTTCATTTGGAAATTGACTTTTGTAGTGAGTTTTTTATTTTTTACGAAAAAATAAATAAAAAAATAGAAAGAATTCTTCTATTGGCTAACTTTTATTGAATCATTAAAAAAAAATCTTAGGTAAATTACACTTTAACCCCCTGTGGTTTGCCCCAAATACACGGAGCCTCCCTGTAGTTTCATTTGTAACACTTAAACCCCTAAACTTAATACTAAACTGTAGTTTTGGACGGACTTAACAGAAGTAATAAAAAGTCATAAATGCCCTTAGATATTTTCTACTCAGTCATTTTATTTGTATTACTTCGTATCTCTATTTCCATCTTCTCTCTCTCTCTCTCTCCATTTTCTCTCTTACCGTGAGCTCCATGTCACCACCACCTTTCAACACCAAGCCAACATGTGCATCCAGCTATACCACGTCAAGCTATATCAGCAGACGTGCCTCAGATCAATGTATTTGTCGTAATGATCTACTTCCTTTCTCTTCTTTCTTTTTCTTCTCCAAACAAAAACAGAGGAAGATGACCCACTTCCGGTGACCCATTTCCACCTTCAACCGCCCATTCGCAACCCCTTCCTGTCTAAACATGAAAATTTTACAAAGCAAAAACTTGTCAAATTTGATTTTTATTTAATTTTTCTTTAGTATTCTTAATGAATGAATCATAAAACTGAATTTTTTTATTTTCAATTAATTTTTCTTCAATATTATGAGGAGTGAATCACAAAATTGAACATATTCATGGCTATTTCAATTCAAGCCTTAGGAGTGAATCACAAAATTGAAGAGACCTAACCCCCCCTCTCTCTCTCTCTAACCAGCCAAGGACGAAGCAAAACATATTAGATTTCATGGCGAGCTGGTTCATATCCACTACTCTCTTCTGCGTCCTCAACTTCATGATCGGCATTATCTTCATTACCTCTAACCTCAAATCCTACCACCACAAACCACCACCGTCGCCATCGCCGGACGACGAACACCATTACCACCACCACCCACTATTTGGAGCTCTGTCCATTTTAGAACGAACTAGGTCCTTCAATTTCTCTCTCTAGAGCGTCGAACAACAACCCGACAACAACCCATTAGAACCCTCCACCTTGACCCACATCAACAACCTAACAACCACCAACCACCCCAACTGGTCTACAAATCTAAACAACAACCCGACAGCAAGAAGACAAAAGGGATGAGAGGGAGCGAGAGGACGAGAGGGATGAGAGAAGAGAGGACCTGAGATGCTTGGGTTTGAGGAGAGAGAAAAAATAAGAGAGAGAGAAGAGAGGATCTGGGCAATTTCATAGGCCTTAATGTGTTTGTTGCATATTTATATAATGAGGGGAGAGAGAAGGGATGTTTTGGTCCAAAAGTGTAATGTTTTTGGCAGGAGAGAGTGCTGCTTACACTTTTATGCTCGTGAATCTCACGCTCTGGTTAAATAAACGAATCTGTCAAAAATTACAATTTAGTATTTAGTTTAAGGGTTTAAGTGTTACAAGTGAAACTACAGGGGGGCTCCGTGTTTTTTAGGCAAACCACAGGGGGTTAAATTATAATTTACCCAAAAACCTTATTATGCCTTGATTTACATATTTTAAAAGGAAATTTAATTAATCCATTTATAAATTTAAATTTACAAATTTGAAAATGAAAATTAACTAATCAGTTATAAAATTTTAAAAAAATCTTATTACACCTTGATTTACACATTTCAAAAAGAAAGTTAATTAATTCATTTAAAATTTTAAATTTAGAAATTTGAAAAAGATTAGTTTTAAAATTGGGAAAATTGGTCTAAGATTCCTGCCCAACTTTTAGTAGGAGAAGAGGTCCACAATAATATATTTTAATGTTTAAGATCCCTCAATGTTTATTTTAGGCTGTAATGGAGATTTTCGTAGAACATCATTCCCCACAATTTCTTTCCTTATAATAATCAGAGAATCGTCAAGCATGTTTCTAAACCGGACACATTTGAGGCGGTGAAGAAAAAGCAATAAAGATGGATGAAGATCTGAAATCATAGATTTAATGTTGTTTATAGAAGAAACCTCCAATAACTTTGATCTGAAAGGGAGAACAATGCAGGTGTTCCAACAGTAAGTATCCATTTTGTCAGTATCACAAGAAGCCAGCTTCTGGAACAAATTAATATCACAAGGAGAAATAACTGTCAG